GTCGTGGAAACAGCTTCGTATCGCGTGCCTCGTATCATTATCGAGGCATAACGTGTGACTCATAGCATCCCATCCCCAGCTTATCGCGCGATCACCAGACCAGATGGCATCGCTTTTACGTTGTATTGCTCTCACTGCATTTTATTGCTGCGATATCATTATATATTAGATACAAGTATATTGATATAGGCAAAAACGTACACATACCTATTTCTTCATTATATTGAATTTGTCAACAAGAAATATTCAGTTTTTTCCCATGACCGGAATATTAGTTTTGAGTGCTACAGTTATTTGTATAGCTTCGTAACAATAACTACACTATTTCTTTATTAACATATTGATATAATTTATTTATATATACATATATCATTTAGAGTAATAATATGATAATATTATAATAATAACAAATTTTATTGAAGTGAAAATAAGTACTTTTAAATAGTATTTTTTATAGAAAATACTATCCAGTTCGGAATGTAATTTCAGCTGCGAAGAATGGGCAAAAAACACGACTGTTGTTTTTGTGTGCTACATGAAAAGTAGTAATTAAATTAATTTTATCAACCAAAATCGAAACAAATATTTATAGAAAAGTTAATAATAAAGATATTAGTAAAAACGTAAACCCAGGTATGGCAAAGAGGTGCGGGTAAAATTTTCCTGTTGCATAATTTTTTTCAATCGCAAAAATATTAAAATAAATTTTCTCTGCTTTTATATTATGAGGTCAAGACCGGATTTATCCTTTACCACTTTTACAATATTTTTAATCAGTATTATCCCTGCTTAAAATGTAGGTACCATATCTACTGTAAACAATTTTCCCATCAGTGTAAACGTAATAATTTTTCTTATTTAAATCTAAATATTTTGTGACCAAAGAAGAGGAAAGATTTTTTCCTTCTCTTGATTGTTCTGATGTATCAGATTTTATTAAACCATAACGGACTAGTCATAATACATAACATACGATATTGAATTTTACATAGAATTCTAGCAAAAAATAAAGATATATATATTTTATATTTATTAAAGTATCCTAAAATTTTAATAATTTTTAATACATGGAATTTTAATTCATTAGCCGTCGTGTTCAAATTACAAGTTTAAAAGGCCATTGAATGATAAAAACTTCATGAAAGGTCTCCAGTGAAGTAGAAACGAAAATCGTGTTTTTCTTCAAACCCAAAGCGAGGTCGGCGATGACTCGTCAAATTTCTGTAGTGTTTTTAACACTAAAGAACCGAGTAGATGAAATGTTATTGTACCTATAATAATTTATCAAAGTGTCCGTTCATTCTGACGGCTATCATGCGCGGTTCCATTATACGTAGAATGGAACTTATCTGATGAGAAAGAATATTATTATAATATTGTTTTTAAACAAGATACGTAATGGAAAAGTTTAATAAACCCAAATCCAATATTGTATAAACAATTTTACTCAAGGTACAAAGTATCTATAGTAATTTCATTACTATATTCCGTTTTTGAATCTGAAATACACAAAATTACGGAGGCATTAATCAATGTAACTAAAAAATAGTGACTATTATCTGCTCGGTGTCAGATTTGTTTTGGTTTAAATACGGCTATGCAAGAAACATTCAAGTGTATAATTATATAATATATCTTAGGTGTAAAAACTTCTATACGTCTATTAGAGGCGGCTGGAGTAATCTGTCTTTATTCAATAACAACACAAGGTTTTGTAATAAGGCCCGCTATGATTAAATCACGTCTGTTGAATAGTAATAACGACTTATCTAATGTGTTTTTCTTAGAGCCCTCAGTACAAAATTACCTACATGAGAACGGTAATGTACAAAATGAATGGTTCAAAAAGATCGTGGAGCGTGACAGAGATAAAAGCGTGTACGTTTTGTGTGGCCGTGTGTGCGATGTCGGCCATTAGCTATTAACATCATAAGAACCCTCTTCCTTTGGGTTGGGGGTCAGTTGATATGGGGTCGACAAACTGGAGTGCATTCAGGCACATTTCCTATCCTGTCGATACGTATACACACGTATAAATCAGTGATTATTAAACGACTTCAAAAAAAGAGAATGTTCTTAATTGGTTTATATTTTTTGTATATACTCTACATGATATTTTTGCAAATTCTGGGCCAATTGATAATTATTTTTGCACTTGATATGGTAATTGGCTTTCCTGTCGTATTGTGTCGATCCGATTATTACTTTATCGCAATGGAAATAATCTTTTTTTTTAAATACAAAAATAAGACACTACTTGTTTAGTTATTGATAGGTTTTTGTCTCAATATACGCTATGCATTTGTAAGCCTTTTATCTTATTATATCCATTTGCACTATTTATTATTATACTGCGAACAGAAAAATATTAATTTAATTTTATATCAAAATATTATTAAAAATACTTAGGTACTTAATAACGGCGCCCACCCTTGTCACTCAAATGTCCAGCTAAATTGGCTAGTTAATCCGACTGTCTGGTTATTAGATCTAGCAACTCTAACTTTATTATGTAGTTAATATTACGTACGAGTTTTTTTTTAAAAGGCATGAAGAATACTTACGTAGTTGGGTTTTATTTTTTACTTATTTACTATAAACAGTCTTTTTGTGTTACAAGTATTAAAAACCAGAGCAACATGGAGGATTGTTAAAATGAAACCTTCATGAATTTGCTTCAATTGTTTTTCTTCAGATATCTGGGAACTTATCTAATCCACCAGTATTACAATATTTCTTTCAACTAGAAAGGGGACAAAGTTTTCCTGGAGTTCTTTAATAGATTTTTAAAAGAAAGAGTTTCTCAATTAGAGGTATTATTTTAATAAATATATCTTCGTAAATGTTTATTTGCAATAGAATCGATTTTAAGACTAAATCTTTTTTTCATTTTAAATAATTCTAATGTGTATTAAGAATATTATTAAATAATTTTGCTATTCTGTCAATATAGTATGAAATATTAAAAAGATTGTTTTGTAATAAATTACCTACTTAGAAAATGAAAATACTCGGTTGGTAATATATGGATAACTACAGAAGAACACAGAGGTGGCTACAAAAAGCTAGTTCAAGCAGAATTAATTAAAAATGCCACAGCAGACGGCTAGCAAATAAAAAAGTAGGTAGACGAGTTCATATGTGGGTGAACACAGAAACAGCATTAGCAGGGAAGCAATGCGGGCAACAAGGTAATATGCTATGTGGTCCCCACATGCATCATTTCAATTTATAGGCATTTACTACGATCAAATAATCTACACTTTCTTGCCTGTTACACTTTCTTCTAATATTTCTTTGAGGGGACAATATCAATTAAGGCCATTAAATTTTTCATTGATTTGTTAATTCATTGCATATATTTACAAGTTATTTAGATGCAGATTCACATACATAAAACAATTAATTTTGTTTAACTTCGAAAACAATAGAATAATCATATATGGAAAATGTACCTATGATATACCTTCTGTTTTTTAAGAAATTTTATATTATTCTTTTTTACAGTTTGCTTCTTTGCCAATTTTTAGTTCGATTTGTAGTACTTGATTTATGTATTAAGTAGTTGTATTATATTTATAAATATATAAATTCGATAACAATTTTTTTATGATATATTTGTACAAAATTGACTAATTGTGAGTCGTAAACTTAAAGATGATGATAACCATAATGGATTGGATATTTGTAAAGAAATAAAGGGAAAATAATGAGCACTAAATTGTGGACAATACAGGAAATTTAAAATAATGTATAAATTATATAGCCTAAATCATAACTTTAATCTAAGCAAACTACATGATACCCCTAGTATATGATTTGTCATTCTCATAATACGATTTAGAGACGGAGTAAGCTTCATATCATGTGGAAACACAGTTGTGTTAGCGGCATGCATAATGCAATGAGATAGCCGCCTGCGATTCAGAGCATTGCCGGGCTATTCAACCAATTACGCTATGTAGCTAGGCAAATTTATTTTACTCTAGGTTTTATTGTAAGAATACAATTATGTACGATTTTATAAATTCAATTTTTTATTTAAATCATCACGATATACTACAGAAATCTTGACGCAATGGCGTAAAATATATAGATACGTTTTGAATAAGCTCGACGGAGGTTGTTAAGATTATTAGGTATATGCCTAAAGCGTCGCGGAAGCAAACGACACGACCAAGTATTACATTATTACAAGTAGAACGTTATGCTCAATTGCTTTCGTTCATAAATGTTTTTCTAAACTCAAACTGCGAAGAAAGTAGCATCATAAAATTTTCAAATAGAGTCCGCTATAGCCTGTACGACGTTAATTCTGAATTGGGTTAGACTTGTTCCCCTTAGAGCGATAATAACATTATACTTTTAAATAATATTGTAAAAATATAATAGGGTTCAATTTTCGTTCCATTCCTATGTGATATAAATAATCCTCGATCGATTTTTGGTAAATGGTTACTGGCAGTCATAATTGGCTTATAAGTTGTATTATTAGTTTAATAGCTTATTAGTGGTAACTGGCTGCTTTGACGGCATCAATTAAGAATATTCATTCTATGTGTTCATAGCATTAATACAAGATGCGATTCATAACAACTATTTACTTATTTCATTAACGTTTGCTTTGTTCCTTTGTAAATTATCTCTAAAACTCATATTTCAGATTAAATCTGATTAAAAAGTTATTAACATGTAGGCCATATAAATTATACGAGTACTTTAGATTTCTTTATATTTTTAATTAAGAAACTAAATCTTTAAAAACATATCTTCACAATTTAACTTTTCATATTAATATGATTATTTTTTTCTATTTTGAATAATACGATATCTTCACTAGTTCTAAATTAGCTGATTTTTTTTGTAACCGATGGAATTTTCTCCGTTTGTTCCATACTAATAGAACGATTAAAATGAGTGGTATTTATGTAAAGTAAAATGATAGGAAGAAAAGTATTTATGAAATAAATTTTATAATATGACCTTTATGTTTGTTACAGATCGGGTCGAGGGGCAGCCTACGCATGTTCGGAGGGCGAAGGGAACGCCCCCAAGTCATGCTGCGGCCGACCACCCCTCAGGCTGTGTGTGCTCTTCCTGGGAGTCGTTGGAGCGTGCCTGGTCGCCGCTGGTGCTGTACTCGGGGCCCTCAGACCACACCCGAGAGCACCGCTCACGTTGTTACTCCTTATGATAGGTGAGTTATTGCCTATTGTTCTTAGAATAGAGTCGACTTATATTGAAAACATATGCGTAGTAATTACTGAACACTTACGATGTACCATATAATTTTGTGTTTGTCGTTTTTTGATGTGTCTGCATTGTATTTTTAATAAATGATTATGTATATGTGGGTATTGTTTTGAAGAAGATGAAAATATTTTGGATAATTTTACTATTATAATTAATATATAATATAGCAATCAAATTACACTGCAACTAAGTAAAATTTTAAAAATATTAAAATATGAAATATATTCGGTAAGTAATTATTGAGTGATTGCAAAAAAAAAGAAACTTTACTGAGAAATATTTTAGAATAGATTGGGTACTTTAAAACAATATTCCTTTTGTATGCTGCTCATTGAATATCAAACCTCTCAAAGAAGGATTTTGACCACAACACTTCGCAAATCATTTCATGTTTAATCATTTTTTAAGGTTCCGTATCAAAAAGGTACAAAGAAACCCTTATAGTATGACTTCGTCCGTATGTCATAGCGATATATCTGAACAAATATTAATGCTGTAGTTTTAAAATTTGGAATAGTTTTATATATTATTGGCCCGCATATATTGCAATAAATATAATTGAAAAAAACATTTTTGTTTTCTTTGTTATGGAGTCCAAAATGGATAATCCAAATTTCAAAACTAATGTATCAAAATTGGGATATCATATGAACGGGCTTTATTAGTAAATTTTTATATATTTTTATGCTGCGTAGTTTTTTAGTTATGGTCAAAAATGTGAAAAAAAAAGACGAAAACTCATCTCCGATGTTTCTGAAGCAAAAAATCTGAAATAATCACAGTTTATAAAGATATATGTGAATATTACAGGAAAAATAAAATAATGTTTCTAACCACTACTGTTTTTGAGAAATTATTAAAATACCTCCAAATATAAAGTAAAGCGGTCCAGTTTTAAACCACAATTATGGTTTAAAATAAGAAATTACGAATTGTAATAACAATAATAATTATTAATTGAAGTACACTTTACATAATGCAATAAGGATCATTTTATGTCATATATATTTATGTATGGAATGATCGACATGTGAAGTCGACTCGAAACTGACCGGTTTTTATAGTTGATTAACGTTATCGGATTTAGTGAACACTACGAAACGAAGTAGGCGACCGTTGCGACCTCTAAATCGCGCTATTATATATATAAAAAAAAATATATCTGCGTTCTAATATTCATAAACCCAGCTGAAATAGCTTTGTTGGACGTAACAGATGGCCGTAATTAACCGTGAAACTGCGGGGTAGCTCATTGGGTATTCGCTATGCATATGACAATAACAAGTCTGTCCAAAATTTCATTACATCATTCACAAAGTCGAGTCCGCCCTCGAAGTTTTCAATTAAACTTCAAATGAGTTTTGGAGCAGAATTAATTGGATTTTCATTAGCGTTAGGGACAAATAATGTTGTTGCAGACAAGAAACTTCAATCTCTCTGCAGATGATTTAAGATTTACTCTTTAGCCCCTCTAGTTGATATCTCTTTAGCAATATCTACTGTTGCCGATCTGGAACGTATATCTCAGTAAATCTCATGGTCTTGTTATAAACCCCTTGAAGACACAAGCCATTATTATTGGGAGTACCATACGTATTGCCAAAATTTCCTCGACCAGTCTTCCGCCTGTGGTTTTTGATGGGGTTATGATAGATTACCAGAAAAAAGTAAAAAATCTTGGCATTATTTTTGATAACACTTTGTCATGGTCTCCACAAATCTCGGAGGTCAGTAAAAAAATGTTTGCTGCAACTTTTGCCTTAAATAGACTACGTAATTTCCTCCCAGTTAACACCAAAATTGCGCTCGCACACACCTTACTCCTACCCATTCTTGATTATGCCGACTCATGTTATTTAGACCTCACCGAAGAGCAATTAAACAAGCAGCGTCTCCAAAATTTATGTATCCGCTTCATATTTGGTCTTCGCAAATATGATCACATTTCTCAATCGTACTCAACTCAAGTGGCTCTCTATCCGTTTTCGCTTTACACAATCCTTTTTAATCCTGCTGCTCCTGATTATCTAAAAGACCGATTCTTGTTTCTCAGTGAGGCTAATGATCATACTTTACGCAGTGTCAATAACCTCCGACTTAAATTTCCTACTCATTCTTCTCCCTTTTATTCTTTATCAGGCACTATGGATATCATAATATTCGGTGCGCTCAAACACTTACTAGCTTCAAAACCTCTGTTAAATCTTACTACCTCTCACTTTAGTACTATTTTCCTGTGTTCTCTCTTCGTTTTCCTTCGTCATTTTTTTCTGTTGTATGTATACTGTTAAGTATGTGTATGTTATGTATATATTTAATTGTGTATATATTATATATGTATGTGTGTGTATGTATGTATGTTATGTATATATTTAATTGTGTATATATTATATATGTATGTGTATATATGTATGTATGTATCTATATTTGTTTGTATATGATAATATTTATATAATAGTGCGCCACCTACTCTTTGTCTTTTTCTCAATGTCCTCTACCCAAAGGTTGTCTGGAAGAGATTGCTTAGCGAAAGGCCGCCTTTTGTATACTTCTCATTAATATTTACTGTATTTGTTATTTCTCCTTTTACTTGGTGCAATAAAGTGTAAATAAATAAATAAATAAATAAAGGTGTATTTAATAGTGTCAATTACATATATAATGTTTAAAATATAAAATTCTACCAGTATTATTAAACATTATTTACAAAGAAATATGGGTTGAAAAACTTATTAGACACAAGAGACAAGAGTCTTTAAAAAACTAATTTATTTACTAAATAACAATTTTACATGATTAAAAAACTAAATTAGATGATTTAGTCCTTAACTCAATTATAATTTTATAGTCTTCTATATTGACATGAAAAATTCAAAATATTTATTATACTCGATCTTTCATTTATTTATTTATTTTAAAAATCTTAAAAGGGTGCTAATAATTGCACTTTCTCTCTGTATCTAAAACTGTAAAATTATATTTTTTTATACAAAATATAATTTTACAGTTGTGTACAAAAGTAGTCTGCTTGAGTAACTCTGTCCCATTCGTGTTTTTTCAATGAAGCTATTGTGTTTGCATGGTTTTCTTTCAGTTTGAAGGATAGGATATGGCAGCGAAATTACAGAAAAATGGGGCATAGCATCTTAGTTCTCAGCAATGGCAAGGCATAAAGGGTATCATGGACGACGCAATTATGTCCATAGTAACGTTCATGTCTATAGGCGACGGTTACCGACTTGTTAACCTTTCTAAGTTGTAGAGAAAACTGCATAAATAGTTTCGTATATTAACAAATTTGATACGTCTATGATTTTTTTTTGTTTGATAATATAAGATATATTCATTGGGTTGCCGTGTGGTCCCGGCATAGAATGGACCATCCCTTCCTTTCCAGTTGGTGTCGTAAGAGGCGACTAAGGGAAGGTGAGGGTTGGGCATCAGCGTTCCTCTTAAAACATCTTCAAAGCCTGACTGCGGTGGCCAATCCGCCTGCCAAGCGTGGCAACTACTGGCATAACTCCCCAAGGGGGAGACTTATGTTCAGCTGTGGACACTTAAGGGCTGATATGATGATGATGATGATGACGATGGGATATTAATGGTGAATGTTGGAACTAAAAGTTATTTATTTAAGTAATTTATTTTAAATATTATTGAAAATCTTATAATTTTTATTTTTCAGGTATAGGTGTGGTGCTGGTAACAGCGGCAGGTCTAGCATGGCGATTGGGTGCACGTGACGCTCCTTGCGCATTGCTCGGGTTAAGGCGAGCCTCGTGTCGCCGCCTGGTGCCGCGACTGCCCCCCAGCTACGCCAGACCCCACCATCCATATGCGGCTATGCTGTATCCGGAGTTTCATTACAGGCCACCTCCGCCTACTTACCAAGCTTCTATGCAAGAGTATAGGCTCAGGTATATCTATTCAATAAATATCCTAGGACACACACAACTCTATCTAGTCTCAAACTGAGCACAGTTTGTACTATAACTACTAGGAATTGATAAACATGTTTTTTTTTTAAATACATGTATGATACACTCATGTATATACATTTTTATATTATGCAGGGATTGAATCCACAACCAGTAATATGAACAAAGTTATCGAGGTCGTCTTTTTAAACAGATTTATTTAGTGAATATTTGATTTTACATTAAAAATAGGAACTAAATTTACGTAACTAATATGTTAATAGTTTTTGGTTGTGTAATGAATTTTTAACTAAATACTACAAAATAAAAATATTAATTTTGCTCTGAAAAAAATAACGATTTAGTTGTGATATTAGAATGACATTATTTGAATTTAGAACGCGCAAGCGCGTGTCTAAAGGCTAGACTGACAATATTTGAATGTAGAACGCGGAATCGAGGTTCTAGTAATAAATTTTGCTCGAGAAACAGGATTTTGTTCAGTAAACTGGCGGTTTCAATCATCACAAAATTAACACGAGATCAATATAAGAGTTTATAGATTGCAAAAGCTATTTATAAAAAATCGATTAATAAATGGTGATGTAATTGTGATTTTTTTTAATCGATGATAATAAGAATGGTCACCCCGTCTGCGCTGTCGGTATACGCTAACGGGGCACCAATGAGGGTGATGATAATAGGTGAGGAAAAATATGTTAGTTAGACCATCGTGATAATTTTCACAAGAATTACCCAGTATGGTTTATAGGGGGAAGGCGCGTTGAGGTCGACTTGATAGGATATATTGCTAGCAATAGGGCCATTAGTTTCCATTACTAACAATCCCTTCTTCCCCTAATGTAATCGTGTAATAAAGTCATAAAAATAGGCAGATGAATCTTCTTTTCGGAACACGCTTAAAAAGTAGCATAGATTACTAATATTAGGGCAGAGTATTGGTGATACAGCATGTGATTCGACTGACTAGGTTTATTTCTGCCGTGAATCAGCAAATCGCGTGTTGTTGTTTCAATCTAATGCAATCTCTGTATAAGAGGCATAATACTATAATATTCCTCAGGGACGGCAACGCGCGAAGGGTGCTATAATGGGCTGTATGTTCTGTGATATTTATGATGTTATTCCTGTCTATAGGCGACAGTTACTCTGAGCTTGTTTGTAATATCCGGTAGTATAAAAAATGAATATAAGTTATAGTCAGCATACTAAGACTCACGAGTCTAGCATGCTAGTTTAAAAGTGAAAGAAAAAAAAAAGATTATTAAAAAAAGTGTACCTTTGAAAGAAATAAATACACAACAAAGACGGGAAATACGGACATGACGTGGATTATGATGGAAAAGTTGTTGGAAAAGTGAATAAACGAAATTAGAGATATATCTTACTATCTTGACTTTGGAGAGTATTGGCTCTGAATAATAAATATATTGTAGATAAAAATGACGTAACAAATAAAAAGATGAACTCAAATATTTATAACATTAGAAACTAAGATTATAAAGAATAAGAATGATATCTAGTGTATTATAGAATAAGTAATAACCTATGTCGGTCGACATTTTAAAAAGTGGTCGCTAAAACTTTGCGCCCTCATTTAAGAAGCACGAGAAATGAAACGTTTTCACCTATATTATATATTTAATTTATGGAAATTATACATTACATATCAGGTAGAAACGAATATAAAAAATTGAGCCAGTCTTTCATTTCGTGTCTCTTACTTTTAGTAAAATTAACATTTTGTAATTATTTTATTTACCATTTGTGAATTATTTTCATTAATCAATTTATTTCATTTTCAGGTTACTTCTTTTAGACAGAAGTGCGCCAGCGATCTCCCCACCCCCAACATATAGATCAAATGCAGCCAGTCTAGTCAGGTAATAGAGAAAGTCAAATTATATATTTCCTAAAATTTTTGATTCAGATGCAGTTTTTGTAATATTATATGAGATTTTACCTATATTTAGTAAGTAGTAGAAAATTATTAAAAATGATGATCAATAATCTTACTTTTTTAAATGGAAGTATATCGGATTTATAAATAAGTTTTTTACAAAATATTTAAAAATGGTTGAACTAATAATTTCTGTTTTTATTCTCCACAGAGGAGCATCGGGTATTACCTGGTGTGGCTCCGAATACAGCGGTCCGCCGTCCTACCGAGCCCCTCGCGCTGATCCGCCTGCCGCCGTCACTAACACGCTACCCTCCATCGCTCCCCTCGACCTAAAGTATGCTGATGACAGCATACAATCATTACCGAAACCTTCAGAACAAGAGAAAGATCCGGACGAACATTTAGTGACAATTGTCCACACTGACGCGCAGCCAGTAATAGTTACAGTGTCAGGATCTACCGCTCTCAACGACACTCACATACAACCACCCTCCGAAATCGATATACTGGCGCACTTATAACGAATTAAGTTTTCACTAGTATAATAAGTTCGATCGTATAACGGTAAAGCCCTGTGATTCGTGCAACAACCAGGAACGATGTTTCTAGGTGTGAATTAAAAATGAAAAGTGATTGTAGAGGTACCTAGTTGTACTCTGAAGTAATAATTCTCATTTAAATGTAATTAGAGAAGTTTAATATACAAGAAGCAAGAAGTATTAGTAAAAGATAACAAACTTTAAAATTACTTAAACACAGATATTAATATTATAAATGTGCGTTCGTTACAATTAAACGGTTGAAAACTGATTCAAATGTATAATCCTAAATTTTATGTTCTAAATAAACACTTATTTGTTAATTATAAATAAAAAATTAGTAGCAAAGCGACAGTTTAACAAATCAACCCCAATTCTTTTAGACATCCAAAATGAATAATTGAAATAAAAAAATGTTCATAACAAATAGAAATTTTGTAAATATTTAACTTGCTTCTTGTATATTTATATTTTCTAAAAATATAATCATTTCAAGTACCTTATTTTATTGTAGATAAGTTTTGTGTAAATATTATAAAGCACTGACGCATGAGTTACATTTGCTTTAGTATTAAATTAACAAAATATGTGCCGTGTATATACGTTAATACAAATTTAGCAATAAATACGAGTTTATGAGAAATGCGAGCAACGAACGATTTATTATTTAAACCAAAACCTTGGCCGTAATGTATGTACCTACAATATACACATAATATTATGTTACTATTAATTTATATGGATAGTGCCAATGATTGTTTAATAATTCTGTATATAAGTAGTTTCAGATTTAAAAGTTTCAAACTGTTTATTTCATGTTTTGCTTCTTATAAGTTATAATTTTTGAATACTTAAGTGAACTTCCAATATTACCTACTTTTTTGCTTTAATGATTTCTCATTATAATTTCAGTAGATAAGTAGGTACGACTTGTTTAATACATCACATTTTTTTTGTTTAGTTTTGTTAACTGTTTTATTGTTATTTATGGGTTCAAGCAAATATTTAAGTTAGTAACATTTTTAACTTATACTTAGATAAATTGCTTGTAAATATCCTATCTACTTAGTGCACTCTTAACGAATCTGTATTAAACATTACTTAAATATTAACACTAATAATTACTGAAGTTTTATATTCAGTTGTTATTTGAAGAACAAGTGAAGAACAATTTGAAAAAATGTCACGTTACTCATGAACATTATGTTATTGTGTCCTAAATAATTGTAACATAACGTCACTGTTAATAGATTGTAACAATAGTGTAATATTATATGCTGTACATAACGTTATTTGTAATATAAGATAAATAAAGAAATTAGTGAAACCATTTTGTTGTTTTTGTGGTTGTAACATGCACAATTATCAGTTTCTACTGAGATTTTGTGAAGTAGGTATTATTTTCTTTCGTATTTAAAATGCCTATGGTAATCATTTTAATTTGCATAAATATACGAAAATATTATTTTAAAGGTATTTTAAAACTTTCGCTATTTACAAATATTCTCAATGTGTTATAAACATTAGACACTTTTTATTTTTAGATGGTTCTTTCATATAATTATCTTACTTAAATTTTATTCCTAGTATAAATGAGATAATTCTAAAATCTACTAATATCAATACATTACTTCATAATTATTATAATCCTATTTCACTTTTTTACATTTATTTATTTATTTATTTATTTAATACTTTATTGTACACATTAGTTATAAAAATATGACAGAGGTAAACAAAAGTACAAAGGCGAGCTTAACTCTGATAGTTTTCTTCCAGCAAACCCAAGTGGAAAGGAGCATCAATGTCAGCGGATACAGCAGTGTACAATTTTTAAATAGCCAAAATTAAATTAATTAGATTATATTATATAGTACAAATACACACATACATATACATAAATATATACCTACATCATACACATACATATACATAAACCTACATATACATACACATATACATACAATATACCTACATATATAGATAAATAAATATATGTTCATAGAGATAGAAGATGCTCTTTAAGTCTACTCTTAAAAATATTTAGGGATTGACTCTCACGGATAGATATGGGAAGAGAATTCCACAATCTAGCAGCATGGACGGTAAAAGATCCACTATAGCGCGTAGATGAGTGTGAAGGGAGTTTGAGGATAAGAGATTTCGTCGAACGGGAGGACACGTCATGGGGAACTAGAAAATCAAAACGTTCACGAAGATAGGAGGGAAAAGTAGGGTTATATAGAACGGAATATAAAAACGACATTATATGAAAGTCTCGACGCCTTCGAATTGGCAGCCAATTCAATTTTGTTCTATAAGCGGAGACATGATCATATTTACGCAGACCATATATGAAACGTATACACAAATAATCTCTCTAATTTGTTTAAAAGCTCTTCAGTTGCATCAAGGTAGGATATGTCGGCATAATCAAGAAGAGATAACAGTAGAGCTTGTGCCAAAGTAAGCCTTGTCTTAAATGGTAAGAATTTTTGCAATCGTTTAAAAGAAGAAGAAGAAGAAGAAGTTTAGTTATTTTAAATGCACAATGTGCAAGTTTTTAGATCTTTGGCGAAATCTGGCGTTAGTAGATATTCGTAAAATCGAATAACTTTTGCAACCATTCAGCTCATATATTAATAATTATAGGTATTATTTTAATTCTCCATACAAATAATTCGGTCAGATGATCGATTTAGTAAGAAAGGTTAAAAACATAATTTATTTTAAGTTATAACATTCAGGAAAGTTCTTTTATTTCCTAAATTTTTCACTATAAATTGATAGGACATTTACCAAGTACAATAATCGAACTCTTTATAAAATTATCAGGTTTTATTCACGCGATAGCAGAATACATTGTTTGATCTGGACAATAATTAAAACAAAAATACAACTTCCCTGTCAAAGTTTATAGTCAGTGTCACTCGGAACGATGTAAGGATTTTAACGATCCAACTCTGTTCTATAGAATAAAGAACCTAACATATATACATGAACATTGAAAATATTACACTTCTGTTTTGGGCAGTCGTATATTATAAAAAAAAGTAGCATATTCTTTTTCATTATATATACTAGAGGTATACCAAATTTCATCACAATGTATCGAACCATATACGAGTAAGTATGCAACAAGAGATAAAAACAAATAACTCATTTTCATAGGTTATATTAGAATGGATTAAATTAAAATGCAAGCAAGATATCACAAATGACTTTTGTGAACAATATTCTGTATAGTACACATACTATATACATACATACACAATAACATACTGAGGTTGTGTGAAAGGTTGAGTTGAAAATAGATGGGTATAGGCCGTACATCAATCACCCGTATCAATAATCGGGCTTAGACGTTTCGATAGGTACGTTAACTAAAATAAACTTTAGTGGATCCGGCCTCCCTTGTAAGGAATTAATTGAATTGTGTTCTAGTATACCAACGATTTCTCTGGAAGAAATAATGCTGAAACATTATACACATTTTTCGTCTATAGAAACATAATATATTATAATTTTATTGTAATTTAATAAAAAAAAAAATTAAAATAATAATATTGAAATTGTAAATACCAAGACAAAGTTCTTAGGTGAGTTTTATTATCTTCGAATGGTCATTTATGAGAAAGCAGTTTAGAATATAGATCATTAATAATATTATTATAATGTATAGTTATTATTCATTTATTTATTTATTACTTGTATGTATTATATGTATTCATTATCTAAGTCGTTCTTACAGCATCCGTGCATTTAGCTGGCCGTTAACTACATCCTTTTTCATTGTATTGGGTTGGCTGGAAGAGATTTCTTTCAGAGATAAGTCTACCCTTGCTTACAGTATTTGTAACTTTCATGTCGATGTAATTTATAAGTGCAATAAAGAATATAATAATATTATTATAAACAATGAGGTCAATTCTGTAGCACTACTCACAACCTAATTTTAAAATTGAAATTTCAATTTGATATCACAACGAAGTCTTTACTCTAAGGACCAATATGAACTAAATTTCTAAAAAAAAAAATATTATACATTTACTTTACAATAGTCCATAAAACAGTCATTTAGCAAAACTATCAAATTAAAATATTAACCCTATTGAATATACAAATTAACTTACAATACTAATTAAGCGTCTCCTCCTGTAAGTAGTCATCATTAACGGCTGACACCGTTGACTGTCCATTGCTTTCCCCATAAGGAGAGTTTTACTAGTAGCTGCCACCCTTAGCAGGCGGTTTGGCAACCGCAGTTAGGCTTCGGAGATGTTTTAAGAGGGACGCTACTGCCCATCCCTCGGCAATTAAGTTTCTTTAGTCGCCTCTTACAACACGTAAGAAAAGAAAGGGGTGGCGTATTTTATGCCGGGGCCATACGCACGAAAAAGCGCTAAATGACAAAGAACAAAAAAAAAAATACTTTTTTACTTATTATATTACTAAATATATAAAAAAAACATCTGTTCCACATAATGTTAATTATATATGTAAGCACGTTTTCAGTATGACCAATACGCCAGACTCTTTATTACAGTCCGATTTTCAATTTTGCAACATTGTGGAGCGTTGGGAATGAATTGCTTTACAATATAATTACAGAGAACCATTGTTACGGAATCCACGAGGACTTCGATTTACATTTAGAACGGGACGGATTTGTACAATCGCATTTTCAGAACATTTCACGTAAACAGTTTTATTTTTCAACAAAAAAAAAATGGGCTTACTTAATGAGGTTAAATTTATTTCCGGATTCTAATTCTAAAATGAATACTTATTTTTTATTGTATATTTTATAATATGTCATGGATTTGTTGAGGTTTTTTTTTAATAATTATGTTTTCATCAGCAGGGAGCATTGATAATTTTTTTTTCAGTGAATGATAATGGAATGGCAACCCCACCTGTGCTAACGGTATGCGCTGGCAGGGCACCAGTGAGGGGTGATAAATGAGGAATGAAGGGCAGGTCAGTTAGCCAATTGTAATGAATACATTTGGAATTAATTACGATAGTTTTTCGTTTTAGGGGGACCACGTGGAGGTCGATTTAATAGGGTATGTTGATAGCAATAGGGACTAACCTCCCCATTACTAATAATCTTTTCTCCCCGATGAAAGTGAGTTAGTTGGTCCAATCTGACGAATTCAATAAGAAATAACCGTGATGATTTTCAGGGGAAATCGCATGGAGTTAGACCTTATAGTGTATTGTGCTAGCAAAAGGGCTTTTTGACCCCGTTACTAACAATCCTTTTTTTCCAATTCTATTAATATTCTACTAAGGATAATAAGAAATCTGTAATAAACTTAACGTTTGGGGATAATCTTTCAGTACAGTAATCTTTCCACTTGGATATCACCTAATTTACCAATTTGCTTAAAATAACAGACAATTTTTAAAAGTCATACATTCATAAATTGATTAGAATAAAATGCTTGATTTACCGTTACTATATGAAGGTAAACATTTATTTTAATGGCTATGAATATTCAAATTATGCATATGGAAGTAAAATAAAATCCAGTGTATCATCGTATGCCGGACATGTGTAGCGTTTTCCGACAGACTGGCTAATCATGGTCGAGCCGAAACCGCAAGCGTTATTAAAAAATACTTCCTAATTTAAATAATGTTACTGATAGTCTAACTCTATAATAAAAATATTATTAGGAATTTTCCCATATAAACCCGATTAGTTCATATAAAGCGTGAAGAAATGAATAGTGGGAGATAGTTAAATACACAATCAAATACGACTGATAATATCTTCATCCACAAGGGAAAATTACTGGCAGTTTTTCAAGGCGCATTATATTATTGCCTACTCATACTTGAAGAGCTTACCAACGTGAATAAATCGCTATTGAATGGAATCGACAAGAGATGCCGAGAAATGATTTATTGACTCCCGCCACGGCACCGCTAATGGCCGTTGTATAAGCGAGCTGGCACTGTTTGTTTCCGACGAACGAATACAAATAAAACAAATTATGTGATGAGAATTTGAAAATAGAACTTGGATTAAAAACAAATTGAAGTTGTGATGAGTTTGATATTTTATTATTTGCAAGACAATTACGAAGAATAAAGTATTATAATTTTTTTTTCAAACTATTGTAATATTGTTAGCCGCTTTTACAACTTCATCGGTTTTGAGTGCTGAAAACACTCGTGGAGAGCTCTTAGCGAACTACTGAAATTAGACTCCCCACCCGATAGATTATGACAGTTGTTTAAGAAACGCCTTAGTGTCTAGGACCTCAAAAAAATTCCGCTTTTGTCTGATAAGAGATAATTCTTAGCATAGCTTTTAGT